TTTGAGTTTTTTTACTTGTTTACTTTTTAAACAATGTCCTTGGATTCTTTAAAATTCAGAAAGAAGGCTTTAGGGCCGAGAATCTGACGGTGACCTCAAGCACACACTGTAGAACTCCCGGGAGAGCTGTCTGTTTAAGTTGGCAGTTCTTGGGGTGATTTTTGTTCTCTCCCACTTGGAGACATCTCTCAATGCCTGGAAACGTTTTGAACGTGGTATGGAGTGCTATTAATATCTAGTGGGCAGAAGCCGTGGATGTTCCCAAATATTGTATGGTCTATCTACAAGAGAATCCCCCCAATCATCTGACCCAAAATATCAGTGTGCATGTCCCTCCTAAGTACATCTGCCTTCACACAGATGCAGACATTTTTCCTTCGGGTGCCCCGCTGCATGGTGCTGGGGAGCTGTCTGTGGTGCTGAAGCAGGTCCACTGTCAAGCCCCCAGACTTTTTTTTCTTTCTTTTCTTCGTTCTTCTTTTAGAAATAGTTATTGCTTTTTATTAGTACATGTTTACATTATACAACGATTAAATTCATTGTGGGGAGTTGGCACATTCCTTTTTTTATCCCCTTTCTCTTCCCTTTTTCCTCATTCCCTTCATTTCTTGATGCCTTTCCCCTTCAGAAAATATCTCTCTACTTCCTGTTATCTATCTTTTATTTTACTCTGTTTATTTATTTATTTATTTATTTATTTATTTATTTATTTATTTATTTTTACAAGGGAAACTATGTGATGTTTAAGCTTGTGGGATTTGTTTCATTTAATGTTATAGTTTCAAGATGCATCCATTTACCTGTGAGTGACTCAAGGTGATCCTTCTTTATGGCAGAGTAGCAGTCCATTGTACGTAAATACCACATTTTCTTTTTTTTTTATTTTAAAGAGTAAAAGAAGGATAACATAATAATGGGGGGACTTAGCAAATTACAGACAAAATGGTAGGAAATTATCAATGGTTATCGTTTTACATATTGTTATCTACAAAATAGTTTCTCAGGAAAACAAATAGACAAATAATAGTGAGTTA